TTATGTTTGAAGATCGGCAAAAATTAAAAATAGCGAATGTTTAAATCTGTTGAGTAAAAAAATTAAAAACTGCCTTAATATTTTCAAAAAAAGCGTTTTTATGTATAATACTACACTTATTAATATTATTATATATGATTTATAGAATTCAAAGTATAATTTTTCAAATTGCATGTTGAACTTAGTGTTTTATTAGATTTGTGTGCGAATGGCAGAATGTAATTCCATTTGATTCTTAGCATGTATTTTTGAAAATAAATATTTTAATTTTTAAGACTTGGTTTTACTATGATAACATAAACCTCTAATGAATTTTATTTTTATCTTTTTTTTTTGTATTTTTTCTTGGCTCTGCCTTCTTTTTACTGATGTATTTTTTCTTTATTTATTGGCAGTGCCCATTTAGGATTTCGCCAGAGTTTCTTGGTTATAGGCTCTTGGTCTATTATTTATTTATTTAGGATGGAAAAGATTCGCTCTGGACCTTTTGGAGGGAAAAGCGTCTTTTTTATTTTGACTTTCAATTATTTTGTGAATTCTAGTTTAAAGTGGAATAGGATAGTACTATTGTGCCTTAATCGAAGAATAAAACGCGAAATTATATGAATCTCGAACTAAAATACTCGTATCGGCCCGTTTTAAAGAATCTCGAGTCAATCCAAGCACGCCGCCTCAAATTGCCTATCCTCTTTGTGGCGGCCATGTTTACAGAAACATAATTAAACTTCATGTTTAGGCTGATGGTTTTGCCAAAACCTTAATTTTTTTTTAAATTTTTTAAGGCTATTTCTATTCCACTTTAAACAAGATTTCACAAAATAATTGAAAGTCAAAATAAAAACGACACTTTTCCCTCCAAAAGTCCCAGAGCGAATCCCAAAACCTTAATAAATTAAAAAAAAATTTAGGATGGAAATGAAATTATTTGACATCACAATTTGACATTGACAAAATGTCAAACCTCGAAAACTACGTGTCTCTGTCTATTGAACTCCATTGGTGACGGACAGTCGACGAGTATTTTCAAAATTTGAAATGTGATAGGTTTGAAATTGCGAGATTTTATGCAAAAATGGAGCCAAACGAATCTAAAACTGAGAGTTCCGTATGCCACACGATTTTAGAGAAAATAAACTCTATTAACGAGGATGTTGTGACCAAGGTATTTGTGAAATATTTATGAATTTTTGCAGTTCGTGTAATACGTAGCCTTATTTTTGTTTCTTCATTGTTTACAGCTTCCAGACATAAATGATTTTGCGATTGTGAAGCCGATAAGTCGCGGTGCATTCGGCAAAGTGTTTCTTGCACATAAAAAAAATAATAAAGACCAAGTTTATGCCATCAAAGTTATGAAGAAGTCGGACATGATCAATAAGAATATGGTGACTCAGGTGGTGACCGAGAGAAACGCATTGGCACTGTCGAGAAGTCCTTTCTGTGTACATTTGTTCTACTCCCTGCAATCGCTGTCATCTGTTTATTTAGTGAGTAATTATGGTCAATTTTTGTTCTTGTTCTGTAACTAGCTATCTCAGAGTTATATATACTCAAGTAGGCTATATAACCATATGTATGTGTGAGTCTTGTTTGGAGGCAAAAAGTTATTTGAAACTTATAAATCAACATGATCTAAATGATTAATTTTCTTGTTGATAACTTACTCATCAGTTGTGACAAACCTTTGTCCAAGGTTTTTTTTATTTTTTATAATGTCAAGTAATGGGATGAACAAGTTATGCACCTGATGGTTTACCACAAGACTGTCCGTAATAGTTGCGAGCTTTAATTTGCAAAGATCTGAGGGGCACTGCCACTGCCCCTGTCACTCTGAGACATAAATTGACAAGTTCCATGTGCCTGTAATTTCACCAGCAACCTTACCCTTCCAAACTGGAATGCAAGTAATACTGCTTGACGGCAGAAATAGGTGGAGGGTGGAGATGGAACTTCAGCATTACAGCATGACAAATTTCTCTGATGTATACTTGAACTGCCCTCTACATATTGCCATCCAATACTCGCTGTACTAAGTTTTATAACATCAATGACATTCTTTGAAATTTCTTTTCATTCTTTTTGATTTTAATAAAACTTAATATGATTTACCTAGTCTGTAGTTCGGTTAGTGTAGTATCTTTATATTCAATAAATAAATATTGAGTATAATTTTCTTAAAATTTATTTAAATTTGCAGGTAATGGAGTACATGGTGGGAGGTGACTTAAAATCTTTATTAGGAGTGTATGGGTATTTAGAAGAGCCTATGGCAGTATTTTATGCCGCTGAAGTCACTTTAGCTCTGGACTATTTACACAAACACAATATTGTGCACAGAGATTTGAAGCCAGACAATATGTTAATTGCAAGGAATGGTCATGTCAAACTGACCGATTTTGGTCTGTCTAAAATTGAAGTTCACAGAGGTTTGTCATTTATGTATTGTTAAGGTAGCATTCCAGGCCCTATATAGTTCTATCTATGTATCACTGCAATAATTTGAGTGGAACTGTAGGATTTTCTTATTCTTCCTTATTTTCTTATTGGACGGCTGGAACTGTAGTTATGATGCTACATATCGAAGTAGACAAATTTCATATGGCACATATTTAAGACTGTTTGGCATTACGACACAAAGCGAATAAGGCCAAAATGAAGGGGTGGATTTTATAATATTGTACTTATTTCAGTTTATTTGATAGTGACAAGTATAACTTTTTTTTAAATTATGATGTGGTATGGTGTAATCGGCTGGTGACCACAACTCGAGGTGCCTATTTTGCGATTGATTAAATAAAAATATAATGGTACTATAAAGTCAGTGACTTTATCAATTTACAAATATGTTATTTGATTTCAGACTTAGAGATCTCAGACTTTGTGAACCGCACTCCAAGTCTCAACCTGCGGACCCCTGGCCAACTCTTGTCATTAACATCACACCTATCATTTGGTTCAGGAGGAAGAGAGACTACATACCATTCTGATGGGTCTATAGAACCTTGTGAGAACCTCCTTGATGAGCTAATAGAAATAGAGACTAGTATGAAATTATGCTGCTTTTTTAAAACAAAAATATTTTTCTGTGATCCTTTCAAAAAAAAGATATGTGAATGGCATATAATTTTGTTGATTTGATACATATCATGCATATGATACAGGTTTTACAATTATTTTTTTTAACATAACACTCATAGCCCCACACTAGGGAAACCCTGTATCGCAGGTCCTGGACAGCCACATAGACAACCACAAATTACACCGAAACTCATGAGATAAATAAATATAGTTCATACAAATATTTCCCCGGGCCCGGAATCTAACCCGGGACCTCTGTGTGGCAATCCGGCATGGTAACTGTTTGGCCAGTGTGGCAGTTGAGTATTAATTGTGTGTTGATTATGCGTTGTGTCCATTGTAATATAAATCAAAAAATCAAATAGTTTTCCTTGTTTTATCATGTAAAATGAGCAGAAGGTGCAACTGACTAGGACCTTTTGTATGTGCTGTACATTTGAATATGAATTTGAGCATAATGTGGTTCTGACCAGATGAACTAACTTTTTGCAACAAACATGTCTATGCTCGCGTCAGTGTAACTCAGAGGATTGACTGACGGTATTGTATTACAACTTTTACATGTAATACACACTTTAATACTTGGCAAATATGAACGTACTCACTAATATTACACTGAAGTATACAGAATACTGCTAGTTATTACCCACCATAAGGCCTACCGTTCAAATTTCATTCTTTCTTCGATTGATAAAACAAAGAAAGAACACATCTTAAATAATTTTTCTACATTTTAAATAATTTGTTAATTAATCTGCTATATTATTAAAATTGTACTCAAATTCTAAACAGCAAAATATATTTGTTGTAAGAAAGTAGTACAATCAATAGCTATTTGTGATACTCAATTACAAAATTGTAATATTACAAAGAGTGTTGTTTGCAGGTAAAATGTTTTCACCCTCTATGGAACATTCTCAATTATCTGGAGTACATCCTTTTATGAGCTGTGATAGTATCATAATTCCTAATATAGTAAGTATGTTAGCTGTTTATAACTTGTAAAGTCTTTATTGTTAAAACAAACGCCGGTTGCCTAGTTAGTATAGAGAACTGTGTGTTCTTTAATAAGTAACTGGGTTACAGATGCCATAGTTCTTCATTTACTATAACATTGACAAGTGTAGGCACAAATCTATTGGAAAATACACGTATGGTTACGCAATGAGTATATAACCAGAAATAGAGAAGAAATGTTATTTTATTTCTTTGAAATGTTATTTTATTCAAGTATTCTGTCATATCATTATGGCATCGAGTATTTAACGAAACGAAATAAGGACCATATATTCCTGGTAACACATTAGCGATACAGCTCTTATAAATATCAACTCCCGTTTGCACTGAAATATAGACAGGCCAACTACTAACCTGTGTGTAGGTCTCTGTATATTCCAAAAAATATTTTGTATTTATTGTAATAAAGATAATATCTCTAACAATGCCGTGCTGTTCTATCCGGTGGTGTGGGAAAAACAACAAAACATCTAATTACAAAACAAACGGAATCACATGTCATCGGTAATTAAATATTAAATATGTAATTTTCGTCCATTATAGCAAAGCTCAAGTTAACTGGTCGATTGAAGTGAAACAGTTGGCGACTCCCATCGACGACACCCTTCAATAGTTTCGAACTCGAGCTAGTCAATCGGAGCGCAGTTGTCACAGTATTGATATGGCAGAATAGTTTTCAAACAAATTAAATGACATTTCGTCTATTTCTGGTTATATACTCGATGCATTACGGTGACAACTGCGCTCCGATTGCCCAGCCCGAATTCGAAAAAATTTACTGGTGTCGTCAATTGTTTCACTTCAAATCGACCAGTTTAACTTGAGCTTTGCTATAATGGACTATAATTGAAAAAATACATATTTAATTATAATTACCGATTAAATGTGAATCCGTTTGTTTTGTAATTAGATGTTTTGTTGTTTTTCTATTTATAGAGCCCCCCATTGTTAGAGTTATTTTCTTTATTACAATAAATACACATTATTTTTGGAATATATGGAGACGTACACACAGATCAGTTGTTAGTGCTTGTACTATTTCAGCTTTCTAAATTGTGATTTCTGAGAGTTGATATTTAAAAGTGATATAAGGCCCATTAACCTGAGTTGCCAGGGTTGGATGGCCCTTATTTCGTCTCTATTTCTGGTTATAGTGTACTCGATGGATTTACACTTTTAACTGTATTGCAAGTGCCGTATCTAGGCGTTGTATTTTTACGTCTTTATCATATTTTTTAGTTATTTATACGTCTGCATCAGCATCTGAATATCTGAACAAATTAATTTACACTGTCGCCGTAACCGGTATCTATATTTCAGTCTCAATCTCACGACTCAGGATCAGATTCTCTACTCTCATACCACACATGTGAGAGCTCTGCAAGCAGTTCCAGTGATAATTCTAAGAGCAAATCGTCAAACGAGAGCAGTAATCATGGATCGTCATTGGAAGAGTCTGCTGTGTCGTTGGGACAAGATCACTCCACTTCACCCCTTTGTAGGGGACAATCCTTGAAGAGGGTGCCTAGGTAAGGTGTTGTATACGATACATTGATAAATTAATTGATTTGTTGATTCAAAACTGTTTGTTCAGGTGCCTATTGTGAATAAAATCGAGTCTGTTACCACATTCAAATATTAACAAATAGTTATTTTATAATTAATTTAAAATTATGTAACTATAATAATAACGTATATAATTATAATAATAATAAATTATAATTTATCCATAATATCGTCGTGGGTAGTGCAAATGCGCGTTACATACGCGCGTATCTGATGTAAACCAAATTTTACAGGAGAGAGATTTAACGTTCTTACTTTGTAATTTCAATGGCTACTACCATGGAACGACTTTCATTTTTGCACAGTAAGCCTTCATTTATGTCGTCTACGGACTGGTAACAATAGTTTCCCGTAAATCATGCAAATTTTGTTGCCGCAACATATATGCGGATTTGATTTGGCCAGTAAATTACCGAAATGGAAACTTAGAATCTAATGCTGGTTACGCGTAATTGCACTATCCCCGACGATATGCGACATGTTCATAATTATCAAAAACCCTAAATAAATAAGAGTACAAAATCGGAAGTACGAACACTTCGGAATACCATTAGTGACCATAAACCATATTTAATAATTAAATTTAAAATCATTTAATTAAGTTTTAGACTTTTTTACGTATTTTCTGTCACAGTTTCCGGGCCAAAAAAAGGAAAAGGATATTAGATAACGACGGTGACACACCAACTGGAGTAACAAGCTTGGTAGAGGCAAAGGAAAACCGTAGCGGGCTAACGCAGGAGATTTTAGCTTTAGAGCTCAGTCAGAATACCCCTAAGAGGATGTCCTTACATCCTACACCTGATAAACGGAAGAATCCAGTCAAAGGAGTGTTGAAAAAGAGGTACTTAAATATATTCACATTTGGTGTAATAAGGTCACATCAGCAAAATCACAACTTTTCAGAGAGGCTTAAAGATTCTATGAACGAAATGAATTGATAATTTTTTATGCTTATTTAAGAGACTTATAAAATTTCACATATATAAATAATTTATTTCATGTAGTCTGTAGTGATAAAAGCACTTTTGATGGGTGATCACATGTGGCTTTATTTTATAAAGATTTGTTTTCATACTAAATATTAATTTTTGTAATATTAATTTTTTGAAAAGAGAGAAGGTTGTTTTGTGGAATTCATTATAATTTGCAATAATGGTGTGTTGGATGTATTGATTGACATAATAGTTTCCCAAAATGAGGGACCATTTGTGACATTTGAGACAAATGAGGGACCGCCCCTAGTGGGCGCCGGCGCCGTGGGGACTCTTAAGCAATTGGGGAGTGTTGATGCTGTCCAAGGGATGCTACCGCATTTGAAAAAAAAAACCTGAATTTGCTATATAATAACTACACTACATATACATAATTCTTTGCCTTGTGATTTTTTGTGTTAAGTTTTCAATAATTTTTTGTGGTGGTGGCCGCTGAAATTTTTTTATCTTGCCTAAGTGGGCGGTGAGCCAAAAAGTTTGGGCACCTATGATCTCCATCATTATTATTTTTCCTTTTAACGTGCATGAACCGCTCTATGCATATTAAAAGATTATATCGTATTTACGTAGCGTAAAATAATAAAGTTATAACTTAAGACAATCACTAGTACATAGTAGCAGTGGAGGTCAGTGTGAAAGAGTTCGCATAGGGAAGTACTGACTGCCTCTTTACCCATTTCTGCCGCAAAACAGTAATGTGTTTCGGTTTTGGAGGGTAAGGGTGTTGGTGAAATTACTGGTACACTTTTCAACTTATGTCTCAGGCTGACGGGCGCGGTGGCAGTGCCCCTCAATTCTTTGTAACAGGCGACATGATACAATAAAAAAAAGTATCTACGATTTTCTGGAAATGACTTTCCAGGTGGGTATCCCAAGACGACAGTCACCACTTCAACGTCGGAGTAATATTTTCCACGCCAGTGTCAAACAACAAAAGCAAGGATAACAAGAAAACAAAAGAAACTCGTTTCAATCTTCCAAAAGACGACTTACCGTCAAGTTTTAAGGAGAAGTCGATAGCGTTCAGCAAACATATCTCTACTAGCTTGGAGATATTTCCTTCTAGGAGAGTCAGTGTGGTATGAGAAATTGTTTCGTAATTATGACATTTTGTCGTAAGTTATGACTAGTGATTCGGATGTTTGAATGCTTTTCTACCTATAGTTATCTTTTGAACGCGCTGCCGAAATGTGGAAGCGACTTCTTAAAATGTATATTTTCAATTAAATTCAGGTATGGCGTGATATGTTTTATATTTTAGATACCTACATGCGATTTTGTTCTCTGTAAATAATAAAGGTCTGATGATGACTTTTTGACAGCTAGAAGTGTCGAAAAACGATAGTTTCGGTAAAAAAATTTTAAACTCCAAAAAATATTATATATTATTTACAATGTTTAACATTTTCACTGTCTAAAAGTTAATTTGAATGCACTGATTTATAAAAATGGAAAGCAGACCAAACGTATTAATAAAACTGCATTTTACGTTTTATTCTTGGAAAAGGATAATGTGTATGTGGGGGTGGAATTATGTTTAGTCTGCTTCTCATTTATTTATAAGTCTATGTTAAATTGTTACATAATATTATAAAAAACGTTTTAAACGTTTTTTGCTTCTAATATTGTACTTATTAATTTCGTAAGGCGGACATTTTTCGATAGCAAAGCGCATTCCGTGTTAGCGAGCGACCACATTGTAGGTAAATGAGCATCTGATTCCGACCACTAGTTACGATGACGTATCTAAATGCAGTGTAGTAGGGATGCATATTACGTTTCGATTTTCGTGAAGATTGATTCAAAAGTGCACGATCTAGCGATTTTGTCTATATATTATATATATTAAAAAAATCGATTCAAAGTAAAAAATCGTGCATCCCGACATTGTAGCCGCTAGCGGTCGCAGCGACTAAGACTTGTAATCAATATTGTTCCTTGTTGTTTTTTCTGTCTAATTGTATTGCGATTTTATATAAATATAGCATCGAATATATAACCAGAAATAGAGACGATTTCATTGGTATAATATGCAAGGGATGCATATACAACTCACGAGGTGATTGGGCCTTATATCACTTTTAAATGCCAATTCTCGTTTTCGCTGAAATCACAAATTAGAAACCTGAAATAGTACAGCGCCTACAACTGACCTGTGTGTACGTCTCCGTATATTCCAAAGATGTTCTGTATTTATTCTAATAAAGATAATATCTCTCAACAATGGGGGCTGTTCGATTCGTGCGGGAAAACAGCAAAACATCTAATTACAAAATTAATCGATAATTAAATATTAAATATGTAATTTTGCAATTTTCGTCCATTATAGCATAGCTCAAGTTAAACTGGTCGATTTAAAGAGAAACAATTGACGACGCCCGTCAATTGTTTCGAATTCAGGCTGGCTAATCGGAGCGCAGTTGTCACGGTAGTGATTTGGCAGAAGTTTTCAAACAAATTAAATGACATTTCGTCTCTATTTCTGGTTACTCGATGAAATATGGAAACCAACAAAGTGGCGAACAGCTTTGCAGGTGCTCCTATGCTGCGCACGAAGGTGATTAATAATACTAAATGAATAATTTCATTTTAGGACGAAAGAAACAAATCTCCCACAGATCAGTGTAAAACTCCTCTTGCCACTGCGCACACGCCCTATCGAACGCCAAAGAGTGTGAGGAGAGGTAACCTCGTTTCAGAGCAGAGGATTCTTGGTACTCCTGATTATTTGGCACCTGAATTACTTATGAAGTAAGTTGTTTACAACTAAACTTTTATTCACATCTAGTTATTTGAGTCCAAAAAGTTTATTTATTTGGAACACTAACAGAAACACATAAAAATGTTTTTTATAAAAAAAAACAGACCTAGATACACGTGTACTATACGATATATATTTTTCCTGGATGCCACTCGACACAAGCAAAATGAACCGTATAGTACAGGAAAAATTTGAATTCAATCTGAGGTAGTATAGATTCTTAAGACTCTGCGCCCGTGTGCGCCACATATCCTGCGCCTTAGGTAACACCGGCACTGTAACCACGGTTTCCTGTTATTGTGTCCTGTGTCGACAACCGAAAGTTGTCGTTGACTTAGGTGAGAAGCAGGCTGTGTTCACTCTCTTTTACATTATTCAATTGATTTTTTCAGACAAGGCCACGGCTGTCCAGTGGATTGGTGGGCGTTAGGTGTGTGTATGTACGAGTTCATGACGGGAGTCCCGCCTTTTAATGATGAGACACCACAAGCTGTGTTTAAAAACATTCTATCTCGAAGTAAGTGTTTGAAGATGTTTATTTGGTTTTTAATTAACATTTTAAATAAGTTTGGAGAAGTACGAAAAAGTGAATTACAAAAATTTTATTTGGTCATCAACAATGCGTTTGTTCTTTATAGACATAGAATGGCCAGAAGGTGAAGAGGCGTTATCACAAGAGGCAGTAAGTGCAATTGAAACTCTTCTTACGATGGATCCCAAGGACCGACCGGCGGCAGTCGCTGTAAAGCAAATGCCCCTATTCAAAAATGTTGATTGGGAGAACCAGCTGAACACAGAACCCCCCTTCACGCCTACTCCTGATGATCTGCATGATACAGGATATTTTCAAGGTGAGTGAAGAAATTTTAGTGCACTACATTAAATTCGTCATCCTTCGGATTGAAGGCTTCTTTCGTGACTTTTTCGTAGTAAATTTTAAAAAGTTAGTAGACTTTTATAATTTTGCATTTGTTGAAGGTTTTGTCCAACACCTTTCAGCAAGTGTTTCCCTGATAAGCGATATAGAATAATATTAATACCTGTATATTTTTTGAGAAATTACTCCAATATTATATTATTATACACGTAGTGGCCACAGTGAAGCAACAGACGCTGGTTCGAACGCAGTCGGATCGAAGGAGTTTTTGTTTGTGTTCGTTCGATCTTTGTATCAATAATAATAAAAAAAGAAAAAGTAATGGATAATAAGCCAAATTGCTGCTCTATGGTAAACTCAAATTTGTTTTATATCGTTGTTGCAGCTCGGAATATTCTTCAACAACTGCATGTGTCCAACTTCGATATATGACAAGGCAGTTTCAGGTACGGCGAGTAGAAAAACACTTGGTAGCATAATAATTCAATAATAGATACTATGTGATAATGATAACACCACGTAATTAGTGTTTAAAATAATTGATCAGAGTATTGCCATTAGATGGTAAAACGCGTTAAGAGTACCTATAGAATTTTAAGCTAAAACTGGTATAAGTAACATATTTATGTGGAGGATAGTACCTCAGATATTATAATGACCAAAGCAGTTACTCGATCCCCGTGGTCGCGTGTCTTGTGCACTGGTTTTCATGGTGTTGCCATCTCCGAGGTCCCGGGTTCGATAGCTGGCCGGGTCAATGTAGAAAAACTAACTTTTCTAAATTGTCTTGGGTACCGTCGTTATATCCGATTTCCATAACACAAGTGCTTTAGTTACTTTGGGATCAGACGTATGATATTTATTTAGTTACTATAAAAATAAACAAAAAAAAGTTAATTCTCGATTAAATATTCCAAGTTTCTGAAGTGTTCAGTCATGTAATATAGATTTCATAAGCGATTATTGAGATATTATAAATGAACAGTATTTTGCCTTAACACACGCCATTTTTCTTAATCTTACCGCAAAATAGTGCTTACATCGGAGTGTAACGAATATACTTCGTATTTAGCTGGGTGGACACATGGGGAGGGTTAACAAACTTGATTTTATCAAAATCTGTACTTTGCGGATACGGGGTGCATATTTCACAGCTTAAATGTTTCACAAAATAAAGAAAGGTTACACAATAAAGAAATCTATAACACCAGTCAACATTTGTGTTTACCGGGTTTTAATGGACATACTAAGCGAAAACGTTTATTTTTTGTATTGCTATTATACGAAACGTTCAGATTTAAGTTCCTGCGTTTTGCCATCTGACGGCAGATTAGGTTTCATTATGGCACAGCGCAAACGTGTCTTGTGTTGGAAGCAAGCAACCGTCAGCTAGAAGCGAATATTCTATTTTCATACAAATTGTGGTCAAAAGACCACTGTGTTCGGTTGCCGCAACTGACAACTATGACCGATTGCCGCAACATACGACTGTGTCCGGTTGCCGCAATCGACGATATAAAAATAGAATATTCGCTTCTAATTGCCGGTTGTATCCAATAAATACACGCGTTTGCGCGGTGCCTATAAATAGCGTTACAAAGTTGTTAGGTCCCAAGAGGTCGCAAACAACAATGCGATGAATCATGGTAAAGGGTAATTGCCGAATGTCTGCATGTGGCCTCTTATTAAAATGTAAGTATTAACGTTTATAATTTGTTTCCTTTGAATACTTACAATTATGTAACGTTAAGACTGAGAGAGCTTCGTGATAATGTTTTAGATAGTTGTTGTTGAGATGTGTTTGTTATGTAATTAATTGATGTATTTTATCCATATATTGTATAGTTACACTTTAATTGTATTTAAAGGAATTTTCAATTAAACAACAATTATAAAATTTTGCATTTTTGTTATTTATATTTTCGACAAAATTTTTGTTATGTATTTATTTACCTACACCAATTTATTAAGAAAGGCAAGTTTCGGGTTGTCTTTCTCAAAATAATTGATGATTTGTGTAATTTTTGAAATCGGCTCAGCGATTAAGTCCATGAATAAAATGTCTTACTCAATATTACAAAATTCTTATTTATGGCCGAATTTGTTATAATAATGTATGTAAGCAAACGTAGTGGCCATAATAATGCCTTTGAACATATCGACATGTACATAAGAAAAAAGGAACATCAGCAACTTAAAAAAAACATATTAAACATAGTCAATAATCTCTAGGAATCATGGCATGTTGATTTCGTATTGTGACCTTTATTTGGAGTTCTTTTGTATCCAGGGCAGGAAAGCGGTGACACGAGTGTAGACTCCGGGGTACTGTCCTTTTCCACAGCCGATACCCCACGATACTACGCCCACTTGGGTCCAGCGACCTCCTTCGTTCACCATCAGTGGACCACCGCTATCACCCTGTGTTTACCAAAGTTACTATGAATGATATTTGCTTAAAATATGATTTACAAAAGGTGGTACAAGTATTCATAATAAAACAGTCCTCCAATGATATAATATCATTGATAATATATATTTTTTTGTGAAATTACTTATGTAAGTGATCAAATTTATTGAGATTTGTATGTAAAGAACTTAATGGAATAGATATAGCCATGACATTAGTACGTTTTAATAGACGATTATTAATTATCATTTTTATATCGGAGGTTAATGTGTTATATATTCTCTACTAAACATTTTTATTATTCTCGTCTCCTTAAATACGAAGGGGTAAATTCTTGAATTTACTAATTGTGTCTATATAGCGGCTTGACACATTATTTACCTACTTAAGGAGGAACTTTAGCACCCAAACAAAATTATATACGCAAACGTAGTAATATTTTTAGTACCTTAAGATATTATTAAATAACTATCAATGGTCACATACTATTTGTCTAATTAACAATGGTCTGGTTTACTTCCGTCGTTGACAATTGCGGTCAATGAGTATGTAGACGAAAAATTATTATACTTGTAAATACATATTTCGGGCAGTGTCATTAAGGTTGTGATTGATTTAGTTTACTAACTATCCTGGCTCAACAAAACACAGAAGATTTTGGACTCCAACACCATTCCAATGGACTTATTTTATGCGACACTTCATGCTATTCTGCCATTTAGAAGGCACACTGGTCTCTGTTATCTTTGTCGCTTGGTGTCCAGGACTTCCTACTGGGTTTTTTCCGTTCAGTTTTTCAATTAACCATTTGAATACTTAATGTACTCGATACTTACACTGCAAGAATCCATACTAGCTTTACCAGCGCATAACATGTGCTCGGTGATGCCTCCCGGAGCCGCAGCGCCGTATTTCATTCGACATTCTGCATTTGACCAGACGGGAATTGCTACTTCTTGCAAGATTGATGGTTGAGGTCCGCCTTAGGGTAGAAAATAAATAGCGTTGTAAAGCTGCGGTGAAGAAGGTTCTAAAATCTCTCACGAGATATTACTAGCGGCTCAGAATGCCGAAAGATCCAGTACAAAAATCTTTAACAAAAACACAGGAGAATTTCGATAACTTGACCCCCTAGCTCAGTTGGTAAGACCAAGACCGATACTATGGTGCAGTATATTATATGGTCGTGGGTTCCAGCCCCACCGGGTCGAAAAAGTTTTTCTATGTGTTCGTTCATTGTATTAATTGTATTTAGCATTGTAATATTATAACAAGTATTAAACAGACGAGAAATCATTCACTCGTATTGCAAATATTTCAATTTTTTTTCGAATGTTAAAACATTACTTAAGGAAAACTCACTCTCTCGCAAGCTTCCCCAACCGATGACCGTGGCGATGAGCCCAGTGTAAGCCCTTCCTCCACCGGGAAGGCAAATTGGCCGAACGTTCTTTGTAAACGGTACGGCCTGGTCTAAAGTAAGGATGGCAATATCGTTGTACTGAAACATAACAAATTAATTAATAAAGCAAAATTTTAAATCCATATATCGTCCTAGATTTAACTGGATTTATTTTTACCAAAGTACGCATGTCAAAACCACGGTGTCTGACAACTCGCTTGATTTTCCTTTCAATATGCATAGTCTCAGAATTTGTTCGGATATTATGGTCACCAAGTCTTGCAGTAAGACGAGCTACATCCCATGACGTCATACTGAAAAAATAAAGTTAATTATATAAAATATAAACGGTGGAAAAGCAGTTGAGTTATAAGGAAGGACTGTCCTTACTGAGCAACGCAGTGGGCAGCCGAAAGGACGTGTCTGTCGTCAATCAGAGAACCACCACAAAATTGACGGCCGCCGTTGAACAGAGCAACGATCCAGGGCCATTCATTCATTTCTGCGTTGTGGCCGCCAACGATACGCTCCTCATCCTGGTAGTTGCTTTCGTAAGTCTGTAAAATTGGAATTCATTAGGTACAACCTTTGAACATCAAAGCAAAGTGCGCTTATGTGGAATACCTGCGGTCCGTTCTTTCTACCACAAGATCCGTCAACAGCTTGAGGTTGAGTTGTCGGCTTACTGGGTAGAGTGGGGTACATCGGTGGCCAAGTCTATAAATAACATGGTCTTTAATGCAGTCTTCGATTTTGTAGAATAATTAGAGGATTTAAATTTCTTGGCGCTATATACCTGCTTGGTCGTGGGCTTGGTGGTGGCAAATCCAGGAGGTCTCGTTGCCCATGTGGTAGCTGGGGTGACCACGGGATCGTGAGATGGTAGAGTGATGCCAGCAACTGAGGAAAATACCAAATATATTATATTAGAAGGTATATTTCAATCAATACCAAGCGTTCCTATAGGATTTTAAAAATAGTACTAAAACTTTGATAGTATACAATGTCCAATATTTCATAGACGCTCTCTTTTAAGTTATCTGAAATAAATGTAATTCTACGTGGGAATTCCGAACTACGAACAACATTCACGTTCAAACGAATGAGGTCAATTCATCGTATTGGATGAATACTCATATCAAAGTCCATGTTGATGTTCTTCCGAATCGTCGATTTAGAGTGGTTTTAGCGATACATGATCAGGCCCTGTCAATGCATTTTATTATATTGGCAATTACTTAGAGAAGGTGGATGCGTAGGCGCAGTATGGTCCGGTGGATGAGTTGGCAGAGGAGGAATGGTTGGTGGCCACTGGGCAGGAATTTGACGCATGTTTGCGCCTTGGCCGATGCCCCATGTTGATGAGAACGCCGACACAACGCGGCCTGGGAAACTGAAATAAGTAAGTATAAGTTATAAGTTATCTTTTATATCAAGTCTATGTAAAGTACCCGCAATAATTTAAATTTGTTTTGCGGTCTTAGTTAGGTACTTGTTCAAGGGATTTGTACGATTTTACAGAATAAATTGATTTTGGCGTAATACTTATACAATAATTCTGAAAACCTTTGATACCTGAACTAATTTGATTTATAATTTAATAAAATTAAAATTTTTTTAAAGTTGATATTTTTTAACCTACCCAGATAATTGCAGTGGAGGAAGATGTACAGGGACAGCAGGCTGGAGGAACCCTAAACGCTGCACATCAGGTTCCTGCTGCGGAGGCGTGCCCACTGGCTCTGTGCAACACACTCCAAATACCTGTAGTGAAGACTTAACGTTAGGTCTTGCTAGCTCCACCCTCCTATTAGTTATGGGTTTAGATAGCTCCGAAGATAGAGAAGACTTATGTGTTAAACCTACATATTAGCGTGAAATTTGGAAATTTTCTTTGTAATAAAAATGTTCAATGTTTTTGATGCTTGTAAAGACTTCGGTCCCTTACCTCCATGTTATCCCCGCTAATATAACTGCAGGTATCGTAGTGCCCCATCACCCATCCGTCCCACCCTGAGAGGTCGGCCACCTTGAGCAGCGGATAGCAGTCGTGAAAACTCTTACATGTTCCCCTCTTGCCCATTGTTGTTTCACAATCCAGGCCGAAAGCTCCTTCATCGTGCTGTAGAAATTCATCAATTTATTTTGTATGAAGTTAAACTGGCTTGTTCGCCGAAGATTGTCAGACCATACGTTGCCTTTTGTTTATGATATCAAGTGATGAGACGAATAGGTCACGCGCCTGGTTAATAGCAGTTGCGGTGCCACTCGGAACGTTAAGTCGCGTAGATCTGAGGGGCACTGCCACTGCGCCCGTTACCCTGAGACATAAGTTGACAAGTCCCATGTGCCTGTAATTTCACCAGCACCCTTACCCTTCCATATCGAAACGCAGAAATACTCACATTACTGCTTGGCGGCAGTAATAGGTAAGACAGCAGTTTCCCGGACGAATTCTTTCAGGAGGAGCTCTACTGCTAGAAAAATTGTAGCGCAAAAGATTTGCCGCCAGTGGAAAACATGATTTTAAGTCTCCTGTGCTCGTGTATAATTAGGTTAGCTCGCCCTACCCTTCAATCCGGAGCACAGCAACACTGCTGTAGAAAGAGGTCGGGCTCTGGTATCGACCCAAGCGGAGTCTAAAGAGCCAGAAAACCCTAACCACAGGTGTATTTATCGACTTATCCGAAGAACAGGGTCCGATGTGATTATATAGCGAAAAGAGAATAAGGACGTTACGAGAATAATTTCGTTATTCAAACTATGGCCTACGTAAAGTTGTTTTGAGAATTTATATATCTTATTTCGTTTCGGAAATATAAAATCGAACAACGGTCGATCTGACATCCACAGCGAAGAAGAACGAACGAAATGTACCGTGCCTTGAAAACAAGCAGCCTTGCACATAAATCTTTGTTCTACGGATGAGTCGTTATGTTGAACTCAAAGGTAACACCTGCCACATTATAACGATAACAATTTAATGACCTCCGTGGTCGAGTGGCTTGCACACCGGTTTTCATGGTGTCGCCATCTCTGGACTTCGGGGTTCCTTCCCCGACCGGCTCAATGTAGAAACTAACTTTTGTATATTGTTTTCGGTGTGAGTGTTTGTGGTAGATACCGTTGTTGTTTTGATTGTCCCTTGAAGCCCTTGTGTCGATTCCCATAACACAAGGGCTTTAGTTACATACTTTGGAATCAGAGCAACGTATGTGATGTTGTCTTATATTTACTTATATGATTATTATATATTTATATTTATTTATTTATTTGATTAAATCAGCTTATTAGACTCCACTGGACATGTACCATTCTGAAGCAGAATAATTTGCCATGATGATCGTAATTTATATGCGGCGATCTGGATTTATTACATAGTAATTTTCTACCATTATCACAGGTGGTCCTTTTTGTAACTTGAAAAGCTCCAAGTGTGTAAAACATTAATTTACCTGTCGTGGTCTGAGCAACCAAAATTGTTTCCCTTCACGAGTGCTATTCGATTCACCACTGTCGATTTCTCGTCGCACTCGAGGTACAGCCGCTGTAAAAAATAAATACAACTTATCTGTCGAGAATGCTAAAATGAAAAATTAAAACAAACTTGAAATCTGATATTTAATAACTTGTGAGCTGTACCGTGTAAATTTACTTTGCAGTACAAAGTATATAAAATCTACGTAAGTAAGAAAGGCAAACATAAATGGTAAGGTATTAAGATGTAATTTGGCAAGGCATAGAGGACTGTATCTAACAGTAATTTCAATTGGAATAAGTACCGTAAGATCGTCAACGCAGTATTAAGTTTAAAGTTTTTTAAACCCGTTCCCCACCCACAAAAGCCGTCAGACGACTCACAATTAAGGTTAATTTATATTTTGTACTAAATTGGCAAGGAGATCAAAGCACAGGCGATGTAGTATATTATATAAAGTGGTTAAAAGTTAATCAATCTCAGGGTTTATTTATCGACCACCTTTATGGCCGTAATGCAATAAATACCATATTGGGGAAGATAGGTACTTTATTTTTCGTCGTACCTATATAAAGTTTAAATTAAAAAAGTTTAGTTTATGAAAAGTGTTTTGTTGCTATAATTTTTGAAAATACGCACTGTTTTTTTTGGAATTCTAATAAACATATTGATTTTTTGTTTTTGTCTTAGTATACTGAATCACAAGTCGTACAAATTGTTATTCACTAGACGAAAAGAATTTGTCACCACACGCAGTACCCAACCGCAAACATGCAAGCGATTTATTGTGTATCGCTGCATAACGGTTAAGCCTTATTGTAACGTCTCCTTTGTGCCAAAGTGGTCCATACTTGTATTGTTTGGTTTAACTCTCTAATCTGTATCTTACTTACAGAGGTAATTTTTATTGATTGTCTTTCCCAATGAACCCTACCAGTTCGCATCCTTAATGGCGTTTAGACCAGTTGTCATCCACAAAGGCGTCCAGAAGAGATGGGCAGTTTAATTTAAATTGAATCTGGCACTGCATTACCAGCAGCACTCCAGCGTCCTTCATGTTTTTTTTATAACATCAAGTGACGGGACGAACAAGTCGTGCGCCTGATGGTAAGCTACACGCCTGTTCATAACAGTTACAGTGCCATTCAGATCTTTAAATTGCCAAGATCTGAGGGGTACTTTCACTGCGCCCGTCACCCTGGGATATAAGTTAACAAGTCCCATGTGCCTGTAATTTTACCAGCACCCTTACCCTTTAAAACCGGAACACAGTAATGCTGACATTAGTGCTTGTAGTGTAGTACTGCAGGTAGCAGTACTGCCCTGGACGAGCTCTTTCACAAGGAGCTCTACTGCTACTAAAATGTAAATGTAAATGTAATAGAATCAACAGGCACACAACCAGGTCTACTACATAAAACATTAATATTGTTTTACGATCCATTTCCATGATCTCCACTCGCGAAATAAATTATTTCATGACAATAATGTTGTATTGTATATCCATATAAATAAGCTCGTCCTGCAAAAAATGTCGCGTAAACAACCGACCTTGAAGATATATACACAACTCGGGATCGAAGTGTATAGTGATTAAACCTGATTCCTATGACACTTTAATGAAAACATACGAGCTTTAAATGTTCCGAGACTTTACTTGTCAAGGACGAAACAGGGATAATAGATCAGGGGCTCTGTATAACTTTGATATCGTGCCGAAGACTATCTAGACGAGTTCGCATCTTAACAATGTTTACTAGGAACCCTAAAACAACCTTGGCATTGCAACTGTCGGAATAAAATAAGTAAAATCGGAAAGAAACTTGCTAGAGTTGACTTTTGTGAAGCTGTAAAGCTTTACAAAAAGTCAACCCTCGCAAGTTTGATGTACGAAATGCGTAGGTTCACATTTTGTATTGTATGGAAGTATATGTCGAGTTGTCCGTGTAGCTATTTTAGTAAGCATTGTTAATGCCTTTCATTATCAAGTTTAGTAAAATGCTTCCTAAATACCACACCGCCGCGTCGCCCTGCTAACATTTGCGGCAGACCATGTTCATGCACAGGTTTTTTGTTTAACGTCGGCAAAGTTTGGACGTAATCAAAATGGAATAGGTTTCTTGAACAATGATTGTACTCGGGATTCCGGGTTCAGCATTCTAATGTAAGGAAATGTCAGTGTCGCCGCTTCAATCTCCAGTCTCTGATCTAATTATTGTCCTCGAGCCGAATAAAAAAAGTATAACCAGCCGTCGAACCGCGCTGCGGTGCGGACAATACTTTGATTGATGTGGTCGACCGCGAAGTGTGGGCGTATGAGCATTTGCATTGAATCGATCCCATAGGTATTCTCCGAATAATGGCCCACGTGCGTAAGACCCGCTAGCAGAGTACAGGTTGACGACCACTCAAATCTTGGTAATCTTACTTTGGAGATCGTCATTTACCTACTTAACTATCTGACTTGCACCGGTATCATTCACTCATTCATAATTTCATTCTCTTCCAGTAAACAAAAAAAGTCACTTTTAAAAATTATACATATCGATATTTTTATTCGACTTTTCGTTGTGACCGGACATCTCAGTTGCAAATTTTAAGCTTTCTCTAGCCTCAAAACCTCATACCAGCGTAGCGGTCATTGTTTTAAAGCCGGCACGATAAGAATACTTGAAGACACGCCATTTCTTTTCGATAATGTAAACAAATACCCTCGACATGTGGTTTAATGCGAACGATTTCACTTTTCGTATTATCTATCACAATATTGCTGTTTTAAGCACTTTGGATATTAGTCATTAAAAATGTTGTATTTTTAAGAATAAGAATTTTCTAACTCCTTTAAGTATTTTCTTACTTAATTAGAATTAGAAAGCACGTCTCCGATTATTTGGAATTTTAATAATTAATTGTTCTATTCTCACCATTTAAAATAACAGCGTCTTCAGTATAAAAACCGCCATCCTTTGTAGAAAATCCTTGGTCTTTCGTGACGCTGCCACAGGTAGACGCGGTCAGGCCCAGCCAAAACAATATTAATTTGGTCCTTAACGACGACATTGTTTCTCGAATCCCTACTGCATTCACTTAAAGCAAAGATCGTAAATACAGACTTGCAAGACGTAGTCCGTTTGTGCGCGGTACGAGGATGTGGCTCGCAAGGAGTCGCCTCGCAAAATGCTTCGGCCCCTTGAATCCGCGCCTTTTAATATTTTTACACTGACGCTCTACATTGGCTTGAAAAGATAACAGAGCTTTTTCTCCTTTTGTACAGAGCTGACATTTACGTTACAAATGAGCTTTATAAATTATGTTAATCATCTGGTTCGGTACGCCCAAATTCTGATTTGATCTCCGATGGATGGTGTTTATTTTTGAGCGTTCACACGGTATCAAACAAAGAATGATTAGCTTTTTAGGAGATCGTTGAACCTGCGGGTGGAATTTGTTCATTAAGGTGAGTAATAACGGCTAATACGAAGTGGTTCTGCATGCGTTAAATGGGAGTTGTAAGAGGTCTTAAATAAGGTCTGGGGCACTGTGTCTGACGGCATGGAGCTAATCGTTGTCGCTACACGCCCGATTACTGAAATTTAAGTTTCAATATCAGTAGTAAACTTGCTGCGTCAAATTTTTTATTTTAACGTAAACGAACTTGATCCTTTATTACTTCAATGTTTTTTTATTATACGTTGATTCAAAACGCACTTTTTATAAAATGGACTTTAGCTTGGAAGACAATAAACTGTATAATTGCTTCTTAAAATTAAAAACTTCAAACTAGTCAAATCGTTTGGGCAAGTAATGACATTTTTGTACAGGAAACTGGTTTACTCTGTGGAGATGCGTACATGCATAGCAAGTTAAAATTTAAATTAATTAGAAGATGCAGTACGCAACCATCCGCTGCAGAAAGTCGGTAGTAAATTTTTTCCAGATTTGTTTTTATGTCGCCGAATGCAGATAAATTAAAAAACGCTCTTAATTTATGACCAATTAAATTAAAGGACATTGATTGAATTTGCGGTTTAAAAAGAAGATTGGATGTGTTTATGTGTATTTCTTTCGATGAACAACATTTATGATGTACATTAAGGGGTGTTAGCTTCAGTCCTCATATAGTTTTTTATTTGAATTCCAATAACAGTTTGTATCTTTTCATTATTAGCCAAACTGTTTGGTCCTACACTGCCACTGTTATGACCAATAATTTTACTTCCTAAACTTACTAAATTGTTATACATAAAGCCCAAAAGTAGGTGACCTTTTGAAATTTATTTACTTATATTTTTTTAGTAAAGTGAAACAAACAATTACGCATGTACCAGAATAAAAAGAGAAAGCAATACTAATCAAAATTTTCTTCGGCATGATTGTGTAACTCCTTTTTATTGATATTTAATAATAATAATAATAACAACGCACACACTCAACATAGCCCCGCACTAGGGAAACACTGTGTCGCGGGTGCCATGGACACACACATAGACAACCACAAATTACACCCAAACTCACGAGAGAAATAAATGTAGGCCATACACATATTTCTCCCGGCCTGGGAATCGAACCCAGGACCTCTGCATGGCAGTCCGGCATGGTAACCGTTCGGCCACAGACGCAGTTGAATTTGATTATTGTTATTATATACTCCTCTTATATTTATAGTAATCCAAGCACTTGCGGCATTTTGTCATATTTTGTCAACGGCAAAAAAATCAGATTGGAATGTCGAATATCGCGAATCGATTGAACAAACGTGATTAGATTTGGACACGTACCTACGTTATTAGAGCCATTAATCTTAGGTTCCGTTATCCAATGAAGAGATCAACAGAGCGTTGTATGAGATGTCACTGCAAGTTAGGTGTGTGCCGATGTAAGTTAAACTCTGAAATGTTCTGTACCTAATGCTCTCATAACTTTTTCATACCTAATTATGCAAGTATATTGTTTGACATTCTGGAATTCGTTATCTAGATCTACATATCAAGCAATCAGAGATTTTCTGTAGCCTGGTGTAGTTTTTCCTAGTCCCATTTTTTATTGTTATGACTCAATATCTCACTTAACACAATATAGCTATTATTAAAAGTACCAGCAAGTGGGTGATGCTCAAAATGACAATAGCTGTGTTTATTGCCTCTCACTGATTCATAAGTGGGGCGCGTATTTTGTTTTTTTAATTATGTCTCTCCTTTAGATTGTTCGCCTAATGTAGAGACACAAAAATACTTGAGAACAAAGGCCTCTCCAAAAATTCAATTTGTTTTTTTTCCACCCTGTATAATAACGGAGTTGCAGCCGTATTTTACTGCCACTGGCGCCTTTATATAACAGTGCTCTCTGTCCGACTCGAGCTAAAGTAACTTATCTGAACAAATCTGAAAACATAGCAAAAAAGAAACATAGAAATGAAAGCTTGTAACTAACCCTTTTGTTTTCATTCGCACCCATTTCACACCTGATGTAAAGGGGGATCATTTCCCCATTTGTTTTTGATCAATCATCATCTTGTGTTTGATCAAGAAACCCGTAGGTAGAGAATACTGCTCCCTTATTGTCCACATATATCTGGACAGGAAAGGCGTAGAATTCTCGTACGTAGTGTTGTATATTATAATCATAGTTCAAGACTCTAGCAGACGCATTTGCAAATCATCCCCGCGTCGCGAAAACAGATGCTCTACAAGCTACTAACGAAGCTTCTAACGTCAAAGTCCGTCTGACGACAGAGCACCCGCGCTTCGGGAGAAGTCGATGTCAAATTCTTAAGTTAGACATAAGTTTGGTTCCCTGGTGACGGAAAGCAGACAGAACCTGATTTGACGTTTAGTGACGTTTGTGACGTTTTTATTTACGTATAAGTTATCCATGGGAAAACATAGCGTTATGTTCCACAAAGTCTATTGTATTCTTATTGTGTACTTAAGTTAAAGTTTATTATTCGGATTTGATTAATGAATTAAGGCGCCTACGTTAAATAGATGATCTTCGCATGCAGACATCGTCTTGTAGAGATTTTTTATCACCCAAAGATCGTCAACCTTGTTCGTATTTGGAGTAACTGTCGAAACTATTAATGTAATGGATTATGAGTTACATGCTTTTATGTTTGTCTGTACTTGTTTTAAGTGGATTTTATACTGTACCTTACTTTGTCTTTGTGATGGTTGAGAACTAAGTGGCTTGCATTGATTGACTCATTCTCATTGTGTACCTGCCTTCTACAAAAATGGTCAAATGATCATGGATAGAGTTTGAATTCGCAAAACTTCGTTCGTGAAGGTAGTAGCTGCATAGATGTACAGAAGGAAATAGCTACTTAACATTTAGAGCTGGTAACTTTTGTAAAAGGCGTACATATCTGTTCGTAATTCTCACATATCTTGGTGCTTGCTGAAACATCTTGCAAACAACAGTCAAATATGTGGCGTACCTATCTATTTTATTAACGTACTTACCTACAAATCTTTCCGAATTGAAAATCAACTTTCAAATAGTATTACAATTAGAACCGTTAATAGATAATAATTACGCAACCCACTCATAGCCCCGCACTAGGGAAACCCTATGTTGTGAGTGCCATGGATAAACACATAGAACACCACAAATTACACCCAATCTCATGAGAGAAATAAATGTAGGTAATACAAATATTTTACCCGATCCGGGAACGAACCCGGGACCTCTGCGTGGCAGACCAGTATGGTAACCATTCGGCGACCGAGGCAGTCAATAGATAGAAAGCAAAGTATCTACAATAATAGATACGCAAACACAACAAACTGAATTAAAATAACCAACTCCGTGGTGGAGTGGCTTAAACACCAGTTTTCATGGTGTTGCCATCCCTGAGGTTCCGGGTTCGATCTCCAGCCCAATGTAGAAAAACTTACTTTTTTTATATTGTCCGGGGTTTCGGTGTTTGTGGTACCGTAGTTGTTTTCGATTTCCGTAACACAAGTGCTTTAGGAAATGAAACTATTTTTCCGGATTTAAATCGCGTATAGTTGTTTTTTTCAAACAAATCAACGTTTCGGGCCCTTGACAGGTCCCATAGTTACGGTGGTCCTGACCTGTAAAGGGCCCGAAACATTGGTTTTTTTTAAAAAACAAGTATACCCGATTTAAATCCGGAAAAATAGTTTCATTTCCTATGTGTAACAATCGCGAAACCCTAAGTACAAGTGCTTTAGTTACTTACTTTGGCATCAGAGCAATGTATTTAATGTTGTCGAATATTTATTTAATAAATAAAATTTCGTATGTCGAAGGATTTGAAACGAAGGGACTACGTTTTCCTAAACCTGCCACCAGAGATTTTGTCGCGATACAGGTTTTTTTATAGTGTCGAGTGACGGGACGAACAAGTCGTGCGCCTGATAGTAAGCTACACGCCTGTCCCTGATTTTAATCAAATCGAAATTCAATTCAAGCGAAAATCAAATTCAAATTGAAATCGATCCGATCGACCAGCCCATATGCAATATTATACGTCTCGACTCGGAAAAGACGCAGTTTCCGATCGGGAGAGGCAATGAAAATCAAGCTGCAATACTTTCAAACCAGAAACAATACCTTTTTGAAATTTTATTAAGGATTGATTGTGGTATGTTTTTCATTTAAATTAAGAATAAATCAGGTAAACTGAAAAATTTAAAGTTTTCTTTAAATGTGCAGTTAATTAGTGAAGGTTTTAAATTATGCGTGCCAACACCTTATTTATACCGATCTTTTTGCAGTAAATATTTTTATTTATGGTAACTCTTTGTGGGAGGTTAATCATAAAGGACGGAAAAAAGTATGACTAATAGTCTAAGCGGTTAACATTGTAACTGGAAAAATTTGCCGATCTAATAACATTCTCATCGCCTTTGCTTAAAAGTCATGTCTAGGCGCAATTCGTCCTTTTTGTGTCTATTCTAAAATTATGTGCACCAATCTTTATCAAGAATTTTGTCTTGCTAAGAAATAAGGAAAAGAATAATTATAACTTTTTTTTTTTAAATACGGATCTCAACAGTTCGTGGAATTACATTAATTTGCCAAGTTTTATGGAAATCGGTTACCGGAAAGTGCGCGAAACCGGACTCATCTTCTAGTTTGCCACCGTTAGAGGTGGAATATTTCTTCAAAATTAAATGAGATCAATACTGAGGTACCCTCTTTCTAACAAAAAAAAAAACATCAAAATCGACTCACAAATGCCCGAGTAATCGCGTAACATACACACACAAAAACTACAGTCGAATTGAGAACCTCCTCCTTTGTTGAAGTCGATTAAAAAGAAGGAGTAGTTTCGTTTATTTTGTATCTAATGTAGATTTCAATGCCTTTGTCAGTAACTAGATAGTATAAACTCGTCACTAAGAAATGGGACTTTTCACCGTCAACGAATAAATACGTTGTGCATTGAGTCAGTTTAATTTTTGATACGTCGCACTGCTGGATACGGGTATCCTCTCTAATAGAACAATGAGTTAATTTAAACATTAATATTTTGTCGTAATTACGTTATGTACATACTTTGTCATGAGTACATAAAGATAGTACATTGATTGGATTGGAGTGACTTAAGCGATGAATGAGAAACAGCGTTTACCTAAGATCATTGCAGCACTTAACTACTCGTATTATATATAATACAAATTGGCTGCTTTTTCATCTAACCTAACCTACAGGATAGAGGGTGAAACCAAGCAACCAAGATTTATTAGGAGATAAATATCAAAAGACATACTGGTATTGATGTCATCAATCGTTAAAAGAAAAGACCAATAATAAAGAAAGAGGATTAAATACATATTAAATATTATTTTTGAATACCAAAACCTAATAATAGTGTTACCTTGAATGCAGTTCATTTATAATT